TTAGTAGTACGTCTACTCTCTCTCTCTCTCTCTCTCTCTCTCTCTCTCTATATATATATATATATATATATATAGTAAAAAGTAGGTTCAAGTCTCTAAAGGGTGAGGGTGGGGGATATCTTGGAGGCCCAAAGTATATAAACTCCTCGAGTCTCCTTCAACGATTAGGATCGAAGCTCACGAGGAAATTGAACTTGTGGATCCTTGAAGTTAGGCAACAACATCAACCATCGTGCAGTCATCGAAGCTGATATTACTCTGAGACTGAGTATAAGGTGTGTCTCCTTTCTTGTTTCGGAAGAAAATTTCGTAACCTGCACGCCCCCGTGTTACTGAGAGAGGAGCCATCAATGTTTAGTTTGATTTGCCTAGGCTTTGATGGTTACCAAGAAGCAGAGATTCCTTGGAAATTCAGTAGGGGCAAGGCCAATTAAATTATTTTCTGGTTTTCACCAAAGAAATGGTAAAGGATCTAAAGCTATCATAGAACTCTTGTATAGATTCCTTTATTCCTTACGTTATTCAGCTGTTTTTCTCGATCCTTAGGCCCAATTTATAGACAACAATTATGCTTTCTACAGAATTCTGTAATGGTGTATTTTCTGCCATAGCGATGGTCTACATGCTCTGATACCAATTATTACAATCCTCACAGCCAAAACAGTAAAAATTTGAAAAATAAATCCAAAAAGAATGGTGGAAAGGTCCGATCCAATTGAATTACATAGTTTTCTTTAATAACCTAGAACTTAACCCTGAAGGTTCAACCACTCACCACCAAAAGAAAAGGGAAACCTTCCTAATCTAAGATAAATCCATAAAGGAAAACATATAATTCTCTGTCTCTCGAGTGATTTCATGTTACGGTTACATGGTTATATAATAAAACAATCTTCAAAAACCATATTGTTCAAGTCGAGATGATAGGCTTTTCAACACTTTGAATTGTAATTTTCAATGCATTATGAGATGAGGCTTTACCAAACCATTTTCCGATATATAGATATGAGGAATCTCCCTCTCTCTTGCATATGAGGAATCACATCGTTGCAACTTAAATTCAAGCTAAGAATCGAAGTTCCAAAGATGTCAAAGGGATCTTCTAACCACTCCAACCACGCCTTTGAAATTCCAGCCCCCCAATGAAAGGTGCTCCATAGTTTCCACACAATCTCTCTGTCTCTCTCTCTCTCTCTCTCTCTCTCTCTCCTCGAAGCATGGAATAATGAGGTCGGGAACTTTGGTGCAACAAGCGAAGAATAGAACCTTTGAAGCATTTAACAAGTTGCATCCTGTGATCAATTCTTGGATCTCAAAATTCATCACTCCCATCTTACATATGAGAGAGAGAGAGAGAGAGAGAGAGAGAGAGAGAGAGAGAATGGTGCCTAATTCTGATCTTCTTCTTATAGCCTTGATCCATTTATCCAGCATCCTCTGTGTGATTCTTGTGTGTGGTTTCCTCCTTTTGATTGGCACTTCTCTCTCTGCATTATTCACATTTTTATTCATCATTTTTGCTGGCATTTATAATATGGTCTCCTCCCACTCATGGCTAATCCAGGAAATGAAAAGCAGCTTGAAATGGGCTTCTTGGTCTCTTGTAGAATTCACTGTGAGATTAATGGTGGAGGCCTATTTGGTCATTGTGTTGTGGTATAAGTCATGCGTATCTAAGCTCGAGTCTTGGCGAAGAACAGTGATTTTACCTGCAATTCAAAGGGTGCACCAGAGGTTCCAAACTATAGTGGAATGAATGAGAATATTTATATTTAATTTGTCTCATGTCTTTGGTATCTTCGAGCTAATACAGAACCTATATATCCAATAATTAAAGGTCCAAACAGGATTGAGATCCAAATGAGAGAGAGAGAGAGAGAGAGAGAGAGAGAGAGAGAGACTATGACTTGATGGTGAGAGAAGCTCAAATATGTGCAAAACAGAGAGAAGTTCATGCACATCGAGCTCGCATCTTTTATGAGGTAGAACTTCATGCACATCGAGCTCGTATCTTTTATTAGGTATTCCTCTTTGTTTCTTGAAATATTTTCCGAGATACTTCTGTTTAGGTGGAGACTTTTTAGAAAGCACGTCTTTGTTGATAAATTTTGGCGTTAAAGCTGTTTTTAATAATATTTGAAAGAAAGAATATATAACTTGAAAAATATTCTATTTGTAATATAGAAATCTCACATAGTATATCTTTTAATTTTTTATCAACTTTACCCTTTTTTACCATACCTTTTTGGCCCAAATAAAAGTAAAAAATAGATCTTTTTTTTATTCATTTATAAATCCCCTCTCTTCCATTGTTTTTAAATACCGAGTCGTGTTGGTTGATGGACTTCATTTTGCATGCCATTCACAAAATAAAACTCCACAAAATGACCAAAAAAGAAATAAACTAGAATAAAGAGAAGGAGATTTTAAAAAGGAATAGAAAATGATATCTTTTTAACTTTTGTTTGGACTAAAAAGGTGTGATCAAAAGGGATAAAGTTAGTCCTGAGGTTTAGAAGATATACATGTGAGATCTCCATCATATATATTTTCAAACCTTGGGTTTGTTGAGAAATGAAACTTAAAAAAATGGTGTACATAGATATTTTCCCTATAAAACATAGGAAAATAGTTTGTTAGTGTTATAACCATCAAAATAAGTAAAGCCGCACCTAATATCTCACCGAAAATTCCAATTCAAGCATTGAAAAACCTTTACATCGATCATCTTGGCTTGAACATTATGGTTGTGGAAAAAATTTAGAATTTCAAGCTCTCAAAATAGTGTCTATTGTAAGACCTTCTATATTTACCTTAAAAATAAGTGTTCACAGATCTGCAAGATCTTTATCATTTTTTACTTTCAAATTTCATTGTCCGTATTGGAAATTGATATTAGAGCCATCATGGAGATTTTTATTGCAGAAAGTACTTTCTGGTTAAGGATTTGAAGTGAGGCTTTATTTTGTTTTTATAAAACCTATGCCTTATAGAAACATCATCGTAAAAACTATAATGCTAAGTACTTTTTTTTTTTTTTTTTGGGGGTAAATCTCTTTTTGTTTTCCAGTGAATCGTTTTTCTTAAAATGCTTGGAAGGGTGGCAATGCCCCGGGTGGACTGGATCGGTCCAGTGCTGCCTCATCAGCCGGCCCTAAAAGACTTGGGCTTGGGCCACAAATGTGGCCTGAGGGCTGTCTAGAGCAGGGCAACCATGGCCCGAGACCGTTTAGAGCCGGGCAACCATGGCCCAAGGGCCGGGCCATGGCCCCAGCCTGTTGCTACCCCTACTAAATTGTTGTTTTTTATTTAAAACTATGAAATAATTGAAACTATATATCAACGAATAAAAGAAGTAGGATTACTGCATACTTTTAAATCTATTCCGTCAAAATTGTTCGAGTAGCGTCCTCCTTGGCAAGTTCATAGGTATTGCTATCCGTAACGATGATGCATTTATTTAACTCGCAGCGATCCCAAGATCTCTTTGATTTCGTCACAAATTAGGATTAGTCCTAGGGTTGGCAAGGGGTCGGGTACGGGTATAAGGCCGACCAAACCTGAATAGTATTCTAAACTAGGTTTTGAACTGGAACTCAATCCGTTGGGTTCAAAAGTTGGACCCATACCCATACCCATCAGGTCTCATATCTATCCCGTCAGGTCTTAGGTCTAGTCGGGTCCATTGCTACCCTCATTATGAGCTTTTTTTTTTTTGCTCTTTTTTTACCATCATATACCCATCTGGCAACAAGGCCACAATCACCTACTATTAGATTTTAAGCTATCTGATTTGTCGTTAATAGCTAAAGATGATTACGAGTTCTTATTGTATACGATCTTTAGTACACCTAAATGAATAGGGCTTAAAGTATTTTATCTCCAACAATTTATGGGTACAGGTATGGGTATGGGTATTTTAGACTCCAACGCGACTCACTAGGTCCAAATATTGAACCCATACCTGGATCCGTGTCGCGGTATACTCAACGGGTCCCAGATAGTCTAAATCCATTGCTACCCTTAGTCCCAATAAAAATTGCACTTTACCCCTTTTCTCCTTTTATAACTTCAAAAAAAACCCCTATGCTATAAGATCTCTTGAGTAATCTTCTACCAAGTTTAGACCTTGTTTAGATGCGCATGTATTGCATGGTCTTCAATACATAATGTTTGATGAAGAATGGTTAGTGTAAATACCAAAACCTTGCTTCTCATTTTATATAATTTTTTTTTCTATATTTTAAAAAGAAAAAGTTTATATAAGGAGAAAGCCTTGCTTCCAAAAGTATGGCTATAACATCCCTTTTGATAGAACAATATACATTTAACAGTCTTAAAAGGTTTGATAAATTTGTAGACATCCGTACCTGATTTTAAACTCAAAATCTATTTTCCCCAGGTTTGGAAAGAGATCGCACTTAAACATGAACTCACCATATCCGATTTCTACCTTCCTATCTTCTTTTGGCACAATTGGGGTACGATAAACCCACACCTTCAAACCTCGCTAGAAGATGTAGTTTATATATTAGAAACTCCTATAACAGCCACAAAATCTATTTTCACCTTTAAATATAAATTTGAAGCATAAAAATAACATATGAGCAGAAGATCTATAAACGTTATGAATCTGAAAATATTGAAAACCAGTGTTTCAAAACCCAAATTAAGGGGGCAAAATCTTCAGCCATGTCGAATCACTGGATCGATAAGAATCAGTAATTTAGAAAATATAATAAAAAATTAAAATGGATATATATTGGGTGGAGATATGGATGAGACCTAAAAAAATATTAGACAAGCTTGATAAAAAGAACATATACACACACATGGTGAGAGGATTTTTTGGGGGAACCAAGCCGTGACCCATACTATCCCATAACAGACTCGGTCCCAACCATAGTTAGCAAGTCGGGAAATAGTAAAATATCGGTTTTATTTCAAAAATTCGAAGGCAAAGTCGGATAAAAAATATGGATCGCCAAAAAATAAAGTAAATTATAGAATCATGAATATCTTATATTGATTCAAAAAACATAGTGAAAAAAGTGGATATGTAAAGATCACACAATATAAGATTGTAATTTGCAGCTATTGCATAGATATATTAAAGCTATTAAACACCGATTTTATATCCTTACTAGTGTCATTAGAGTAATACTTGACTATTTTTTGTTGAAAATGCTTACTCTATTGTCACAACACAAAACATATCATAGATTTATCGGGAGCATAAAATGAAATAACAACAACAATACTAAGCATAATAACTAATTAGTAAAGAACAAGAGCTATGAACCAAGGTATGGGATTACTTTTCAAAAAAAAAAAAACACCCTCAATACAAGATTGCAGCTAATTAAAAGAAAAGGCAGAGACCCAAATATGTAAATAGTAGTCCATCCAAAATGCTAGGTTGTATACACCAATAAAATAAAATAAAAATAAAACATGAAATTAATCAAACTTCTCTATGCATAAAAATAATAATAAAATGCTTAAGCAAATTAGAATCTCACATTGAATTCTTAGCTACCTAAATCTTTAATATCATTGAATCTCTCTCTTGCTAGGAATAGACGTCTAAGATGATCCCAATCACAATGTCACGCCTCTATACTATTTTATTTTTAGCTTTTTTCTATAAAACATTTTGACACCAAATTTTAGGCGCCCACTCCTCTCTTAAACCAGCTCCTGTAAAAAAATTAAAACAAATATAATCAATAGAATAAAATAACAAAAATGCCCCTAAAAATTAGGGGTAATTTGGTCATTTGATTTTACTGAAAATATTTTTGTAATATATTTTTTAGGTGTGCCACATTAATATGATGACATGTACTAAATTTCATATTCATATAATTTGTAAAAAACAATTAAAAATAAAATACTCTAAAACATCAGTACTAGATCAAAAGGTTAGTGGCTCTCTTGATCAAAATTGGACGGCTGGATGGGAGGGAGTATATATCTTTCATACAATAAGAGAAGTACAAAAACATTTGCCGTTAAGTATAAATATTTTAAATGTAAATTACACTTGGGTATGTATACTATACTCCCTCAGGAGTATAGTTTACTTCTACACCTTCGGTCAGAATACCTACTTGAAAGGATTTTTTGAATCTCAAATTTTGGGAGCCACTTAAAAATTACCATATGATTATTCTATTTTATTTTATTTTTTGAAATTTGAGTTTTTAACACTTAGATCTCACCATCTAAAAATTGAATGGTCTCTGTTCAATCTTGAGACTATATTATTTTTTTCAAGTGCATAGATTATAAAATTAGGAATCTTTCTTATTGAGATTAATCGGTGGGTTAAAGAGGTCACATCCCCAAAAATTAGAGCTCCTAAAATTAATTCTAGGTGGGGTTTTATCCAAGGAGTAAATGGACATTCTACTCCACGGGAGTAATGGTTTCTCCAAGCTATTTTTCTTTTTTTATATATATATGCTAGGTTCGAACCCACTACATATAAGCTAGGAGCAACAATAATCCCAGTTGAGCCATGGGCTTGAACCTACTACTTTTATTTTCTTTTCTTTGTTTTGATTTCACACAAGAAATGACATAATTTCCAATGTGCTTATGACCTTGTTCGATTGCATCATCCATAGGGAAAAATGTTCGCTCCTCATGCTTCCTTAAACTGGGAAGTATTGAACATGAACAAATCTAATGTATATTATATTTTTAGCCATTGGATGTAGAATCTAATGGATTGAAGTATGTCTCAACATTCTAAAATATTTATTTTGGACTTTGTGCTTAATCAATGATGCATCTTCAATCACCCAATTTCACATCAAACGGTCAATAATAATTATTACCTTCTTGTATCAAAAGTAAATATTCTCATTATATACATTTCCTTACAAAATAATATACATAAAATCAGGCATCGGTAATCCACTTCTTTCGCAAATATGATGATGATGTCCCTCCAGAGATTATTATGTTGTTCCAATATTAAGTTAGTGATGCCTGAAGTCCTTTTTTTTTTTTGTCTGTTTTTTCTATTTTTTAAAAGATAGTAACAAAAACGGATAATCACATTCATATCCGTTATACTTTGCGTTATTACGGATGTACCAAATAGTTTATGTTATTACATGTATGTTCGTTTTTTACCATTTATAATGTAAATTTTTAAAAATGACGATTTTACCCTTTTTTGGATGTTGAACATCCGAAAATAAGCCGAAAGTGTAACGTTCACATTCCGCATTCACATTTTTGGATGTTCAACATCCGAGAACATCCGAAAATGTCATATTTTTTTATGTTAAACATCAGAAGATATCATATTTTTGGATGTTAAACATCGAAAAATGTCATATTTTCGAATGTTCAATACCGGAAAATGGGAATATGAACTTTTGGCCTATTTTCGGATGCTCAACATCCAAAAAAGTAAAAAAAAGAAGGTATGTATGTAATTTTTAGATGTTCAACATCCGAAATAGGGTATATATGTAATTTTCGGATGTTCAACATTTGAAAAACGGTAAAATTGTCTTTTAAAAACATTTACGTTATAAAAGGCAAAACATAGACATACATGTAATAACAGAAACTATTTAGTACATCCTTAATAACGCAAAATATAACAGATATGTATGTAATTTTTTCTAACAAAAAACTATTTGATATTGAATATCTAATTTATTTGTATATATTTTATTAATTTTTATATTATTTGTATATATTTTAGATAGAAATATCTAATTTATTTATAATAAATTAGAAAATATAAAAATATTTAATTTATTTCTGTTAAATTAAAAATATATAAAAATATCTAATTTATTTACGTTAAATTAAAAATAAAATCCCAAGTTTTCTTTCGAATCAGCAGAAACATCAAATTGCTTCATCTTTCTCACCAAATAGAAAAAAACTCCAAAAATATGAAAACAAAAACTCCAAAAATATAAAAACATTGGTTGTGACACCAGTTAAGGACATTCACAGGCTTAAGCATGGTAACATACTGAGACTCATGCATTGAATTATTTTATTATTCAAGTGTGCCCCAAAATTAATAAACACCTAGATGATCCGACAAGAGGTGGCAGGACATTGTCAAAATTTGCGGTTGAGCAAAGCCAAGCAAAGTAGGCACAACCTTCAGTCAATGACAACTAAATGTGAGGCAAGATAAAGAAGAGAGAGAGAGGAAGACAGATTTTTCTATATATTTTTTTTCCTAGCTGACAGCACTCACGACACCTAAAAGAACCCAACTCTCTTGATCTATTTGAAAAAGGAAAAAAAATTATAGAGAGCCCAAGTTTTAAACAATCAAATTAGAGCGAACCTCAAAAATTTTACTATAAAAGATTATTTTGATGCTCAAATATCTTCAAATTGATCATCTCCACATCAAGATGTATGGAAAGGAGAAAAAAATCGATTTTAAATTTTGAAAATAGTGCATCTTGAAATACATATTTGGACAATCAATTTTCAATATTTTCGAGGTTTTAAACGATCCAATAGTGTCAAGAAATGTGGTTTCAATACGGGAAATATTTGTGATAGCCTTAAAACATACTTTCAACTTTAGTTATAGAATTTAAAGCTTAAAAAATAGTGCAGATTGAATAGATCTATGAAACTTGAAAATATTGAAAATTGATGGTAAAGAAATGTGTTACAAAATGCACTATTTTCAAAACTTGAAATTTTTTTTTCTTTTTTTTCTCATGCCCATGCACAATGATGTCAATCAATTTGAAGATATTTGGACATCCAAACAAGCAACTTCTTCTAAAGAAATTTTTGATGTGGGCTCTAATTTGATTGTTTAATTTTTGATGTGGGCTCTAATTTGATTGTTTAGATCCCCGGCTTTATATAATTTTTTTACTTGGAAAAAAATGGGTGGTGTAAAAAGAAAATAAATAAATACAGAAGAGAGAGAGAGAGAGAGAGAGCGAGATGAATGTACAAACTAAAAGAGGGAAAAGAAAGAGTGGGGGAGGAATATGGGTTATGGAGACGGAGGAGAAAACAGAGAAGTTGAAGGGGGAGTAAAAGAAAAGAGGTAGAAAGATTGGGAAAGGAGAGAGAGAGAGAGAGAGAGAGAGAGAGAGATGGGGGCATGGATGTCAAGAGAGGAGGAGGTTGAGAAGAAGCGCATCTTCATCCTGGCGGGACAGAGCAACATGGCTGGAAGGGGTGGTGTGGAGGCATCAAAATGGGACAGGGTGGTTCCCTCAGAGTGCCGATCGGACCCCCTCATCCTCCGCCTCAACTCTGGCCTCTGCTGGGAACTCGCGAAGGAGCCCCTTCACAGAGACATCGACACCTCCAAGACCTGCGGTGTCGGCCCTGCCATGTCCTTCGCCCATGCTCTGCTCAATTCCTCCTCGCCTTCTCCTTCACGTGTGCCCATTGGGCTTGTGCCCTGTGCTATAGGGGGAACTGCTATTCAGCAGTGGGAGAGGGGGAGTCATCTTTATAAGGCAATGATAAGCAGGGCGAAGGCAGCGGCGCGAGGGTCGGCAATAGAGGGGATTCTATGGTACCAGGGGGAGAGTGATACTGAGTCTCGCCAGGCAGCCGAGGCTTATGGAAGAAAGATGGAGAGTTTTGTGAGGGATGTGAGGTTGGATCTTCAGCTCCCTAATCTCCCCATCATTCAGGTGCACCCATTCCCCAACCCTTTACCTCCTAGCAGCTTCATCATAGTTTTAATGGAGAGTGGATGAAAAGGATTGGGATTTGAGAGTACTTCTCTTTTCTTTCTTTGATATTTATGATCCTAACAGTTGAGATCAGTAATTTACAGAGATTTTGGATTCAAAAACTATATTGAAGATGCAGTGGGGCGATTTTTTAGGACATCTCTCCTTCAATTAAATGACCACATTTTTTCAAACTTGAACTGTGGGATTCATTCTAGGATCAACTACATTTCCCCTTCTGTTATTGGGTAATTAATATTGTATTTCTAAATATTAATCGATCAATGTTGTGTTAATTTAGGTGGCTCTAGCATCAGGGACTGAACCATACATGGATATTGTGAGAGAAGCTCAGTTGGGGATGCACCTTCCCCATGTATTTTGTGTGGATGCAAAGGGACTCCAACTCAAGAAAGACAACCTCCACCTTACCACCCCATCACAAGTGCAGTTGGGTAAGATGTTGGCTGATGCATACCTAAATCACTGTGTTTTTTTGACCATATTAGACCACCACACATCTTGGTTATGTGAATCCCATATGATTTGTAGAAGGCTGAGGCCCTAACAATCAAAGTAAGGCACACCTTCAAATCGTGTCAAAAGGTGTTGTTTCAGTAATAGAAATCTTTGTGACGCCTCCAAAATTGTTTTCATATCTAATTATAAAATTTAAAGCTTTAAAAATAGTGTAGATCATGCATATCTATAAACACTTTAAAATCTTGAAAATTGACGGTCCGAAAAGTGTATCACAAATGCATTACAATATGCACTAAATCTTGAAATAGTTTTAAGATAGTTTCTCTCTCTAAAACTTAAAATTTGATATAGTTTCTCTCTTTGAAAATTTTATATATTACAAATGCATTACAATATGCACTAAATCTTGAAATAGTTTTAAGATAGTTTCTCTCTCTAAAACTTAAAATTTGATATAGTTTCTCTCTCTTAAAATTTTATGGTAGTTTCTCAATCTAAAATTTGATATAGTTTTTAATCTTTAAAATTTTAATATACTCCCTCTAAAACTTAAATTTTGAGATAGTTTCTCTTTTTAAAAGTTTTGAGATATTCATCTCTAAATTTTTAAGTGGTTCCTTTCTCTAAAAGTAAGTTTTGAGATATTCATCTCTAAATTTTTTTTAAGTGGTTCCTTTCTCTAAAAGTTAGTATAGTTTTTGTCGCTAAAATTTTAAGAATACTTTCTCTCTCCAAAACTTAAGATTTGACATGTTCTCTCTGAAACTTCAAGTTTGAGATAGTTTCTCTATCTAAAAATTAGAGATAGTTTCTCTCTCTAAAAAACTTATGTATTTTTTCTATTTAAAAATTTCATATAATTTCTCTCTCTAAAATTTGATATAGTTTCCCTCGCTAAAATTTTAATATGTTCTCTCTCTCTAAAATTGATACAGTTTCCCTTTTTAAAATTTTAATGTGTTTTTGTTCTTCAACATCAAAATGGGTCGTTTCATGAAATGTCAATTCTACCTATTTTGATGGAATTGAGATTTCCAAAATTTAGGTTTAAAATGAGCATTCAGGTTTCTCATGGAAATCTCAATTCCAACAGAAATGTCAAATTCTAAAGCACCAAAATACGATTGCCTAGCCTTTTCTAGGAAAAGTGACTCATAGAAATTTGAATCCATTGAGCCAAACGGGCCCTAAGAGGAAAACGTACACAACTCTCTTTGAGACTTCTCCCGTAGCTATTTAATAAAGGGATTTTATAATCATGAAACCATTATAAGGACGTCACAATCATTCTTAGCTCTCAGATGTCAAATTGTATAGCTTGGGATGTGTAACCAACTTGGAGAAATGGTGAATTCTAAGTCTAATCAATAATACATTAATAAACCACCAGATTTAAAATTTGACGGACAAGGCCTCCTTATGCTAAACGTAAATAGCTTCTTTGTGTATTTTCTCCTTTTAATACGAACAAAAAATTTATGTTCTTACACCCATACTGCAATACTTTTGCAGTATTACAGTATGGTTTGATTTTTTTCATATTTTACGTGGAGGTCATCATACTCTTGCATTTGTTTAGTTTTTTGCAGGTGGCTCCCCAGTTTGATGTTTGCAACATAAGTGTTGTGTTATTTTATTTTATTTCTCTTTTTAGTCCATTAGGTTGTCCAATGGGGATGTGATAGAGGTATATTATGTGCTGATATGACGTTCAAAATATCGGACTACACTTTGACATTTTCTCGCCAGTATCGTACCACTTCATACTTTGAATTTTTTTTTGAGCTGCGTGATATTTGTGACATTAGACCCTGATTTCTGTAGCATCATGTCTAGTGAGTGGTCCTATGTTTGGAACATTGACCCTACGCCTACCTAAAACGTTCTTAAGACACACGGTTTGATATTACAAACATTGAGCTGCTCACTGTAGGGTGTCCAATTTTTTGGAATATAAATACCAACCCCTAATATGCCTCCAAGCCTACATAAAGCCCTCCCTCCACACTTTCCATAAAATATGGAAAAACTAGCCCAAACTGTAATTACCAAAAAATTATTGCATTGTGGGTGTAATTTCCTCATGTTACTTAGAGCTTCGGGATCCAAATAAAGAACCTACACAAACAATCCCAAAACATAGGGACATCCTTAAGAAACCCCAATAGGTAAAATATTAAGAAAATGATCAAAGGATGCGAGATTCTTCTAACTTACAAACCTAACAAATTCACAATCATCTTAAAATGATCTTCGATAAAATCTGCACGGAAGTTCAACACTACACAAATAAATCATCAACAATTGGATTTGGAAGTAATCGAGTTGCGTCCCCCCCCCTTTTGATGTGCCGAGGTCTATCCTAATTGGTCAGCGTTTGACGATTTGCAGTGCAATGTCCTAGACTTAATTTCTATTGAGGGCAAGGGCCCTTTCCCCACTGACTCACCCAAAAGAAAAGGTTTATACTTAAACTAGGAAAATATTACTTCAAGACATATTTTTGCTGGATCGAGTTGTGTATTATTCGTTAGCATCAACCACAAGTAGAAGCAAAACAACCATGTTTGCTGCGAGGTTAGGCATGTTTATCAGTGTTTTAGGTAGAAGTTAAAAAAAATCAATTTTAAAAAGATTGACCGATTTTTTAAATAACGGTTGATTAAATCAAGATTGATCACTGGACAATCTTGATTTATCCCTATTCCAATGGTTATGTATTTTGAAATTTTTTTCAGTGTACTAATTGATCGATTTTTTAATTAACCGGCACAAATTGGCCGATTAGTGAACTAATCGATGATTTTTTGAAAAAAATCCCCCGATTTGTGCAGTGTTCCAGTTTGACTTTTCAACATTGCCCTCTATTATTATAAAGATAAGTTATGCCCATAATATTTTTCTCCGAAACCCAATTATGCCCGCATGAAGCAATTATTGTCACATAATTGGGTTTCTTTATTGGAGGTAAATGAGCTAAGAATCAAGTGATACACCTGCTCTCTAACCTGATGTCTTTAAAAAGCGGCACATGTAGTTAATGAGTGATTATTTATTACAACATGTTCCACACAAAATGACTAAAGCACAATACAAATGCATGTCATAAAATGCATTTGGTCTATTAGTTGATTTTCTTGCACTCATGAAGTTTTATGTCTATTTGAGCATAATGTATACTGTCGACCATTTAATTGCATATGTAAAATTTATTGGAATTATGAATTTGCATATGTAGCTATAATCCTATTTCTAAGATTGAGTTGTACATAAAAACCAAAGCTTAATTATAGAAATCATATGGTAACAAGTCATATAATCTATTTTTAAGATTCTAAAATTATGAAGGTAACAGTCATGTGATTTTATCCATTTTTAACAATCGTGTACAAAAATCACACGAGTAAGTGAAAGGAGCATACATCTAGCTGCAAGGACCCAAGGAGAGGGGCAGCTTTTGCAAGTACAAGAGAACATGCCACACGCAAGTAGTTTTATTCATTTTAACCATCTGTAGAACTCCTAGATTTGTTCATAAGAAGTATAATTTGCCAGATACATTCAAAGGGCAAATCTTTTTTTTTGAAAATTTTTCAGGTGCCTAAAAATTTTATCCGAAACCCAGTTATGCCCATGATATTCTTTTGTTTTGTTTGGTTTATGCGACAATATAAATAAACAATACATGTAAATTTTAAATATTTTTTTACAATTTGTTTGGGATTTTTTGGAGTTTTTAGGATTTTTTTACCAAAATTACAATTTTCATGAAAATTGGGGCACTAATCGGCCGATTTAGTCGGAACTACATCCCACGTACTGTGTCCAAAGACTAGAATAACTTGTTGGAAATCGGAGGAAACGTGGAAAAATAAACGATATATAATATATATTTTTGTGTAACTAACAATATATAATATATGATATTTATATTATATTATATATTAATTACATAATGAATAATATACATATTATTAATATAAGCAATCCAATTAAGGCGCACCACCAATTTTTATCATAACATGTAATTTTAGTGTAAAAAATTATTAGGATTATTTATAAATTTATTTTTCATACTAATTATAAAATTTTAAACTCCAAAACTAGTTAAAATTGAGTAGATCTATATATATATTTTGCCATATATCATAAACTTTATTAATGAAATGCAAAAATCTAGTAGATCTATAAATATATGAAAAACTTGAAAATGGACAGTTTAAATAATGTGTTTTAAGATGCACTATTTATGGGACGTAAAAATATTTTTTATTTTTATTTTTTTCATATTTATATATCTCGATGTCGAGATGATCAATTAGAGGGTTTTTCAACATTAAAACAACCTTTTCTGATGGATTTTTGAGATGCATTTTATATTCTACATTTTAAGGTTGCAACTTTATATAAACTTTTTTAAAAAATATATATTTATATTATATTATAATAGATATTATAATAATATAGCATCACTATATATTATATAATATTCAAATAAATATTTAATATATAATGTTTACATAATATTTAATACATTATATTTCACTAGTATTTCAATAAATATAACTAGTATTATATATATTTAATATATAATATTTAAAATATACTTAATCTATAATATTTTAATAATATTTAAATCGGATTTAAATAAATGTAACTATAGATTTATAGTTATAGTATTTAAATAATATTTAAAAATAATTAAAATACCAAACATATGAAATTCATTGCACAATGCTTTTTAAATGTGTTAACCAACATGGAGAAAAAAAAGTTTGCAAATTTTTTTATTGCATAGGGTTTACATATGTAAATATATTTCCTAGGGAAATATTTACACACCAACCAAATGTGGCCTGAGGTTTTCCTATATTTGTTTTCCCAACTTCATAGATGAATTCAAAAAAATAAAAATAAAAAAAATAGGAAAAAGATCACCATCGCATGACAAATTTGAAGGAAGTCAACCAAAATAAATAAATATACCTATGTGAAAGATATTAAAACAAATATCTATGTAAAAAAAAGGGGAAATTATACAAAAACCCCCTAAACAAACTTGTCCATCATTTTACCCCCCTTGAAATGTTTTATTACTAACTTTTTTTAAAACTTATATTTTCAAACAAATAACCCCCACCTACCTAAAGTTCTAAATCATGCC